TATAATTAACCAGACATGTACCGGACCTTATCCCTTGAACCTTTTAAAAACTGCTAAGTAATTAGGGACCGTCCCAATGATTCTGCAGAAGCTGTAGAACAGAAAAATAATTTGTTTTATTAAATTTTTAAATAAACATAATGTGTAACTCAATACAGTCAAATGCAATATCATTTCCAAACTAAAAACGACAATTACTAAAGTGTTATTTTACATCATTTTGCACTTCCCAGTCATAAGGCTCATTTTCCGTCGTCTCTTCCGGCTGGCATTTCTGCAAATTAGCCCAATATGTTAACAATTTCACGACTTGTCCTATTTCATTTTATTGTCAGCAAAAGAAGTGAGGCTAAATCAGAATGAAACTAAAACTAATCAAAATACTGTAGTACGTCAAAAAAGTCAAGAGTCGATACTTGTGCCGTATTAACTCTTTCTGTCAGGCGGAAGTAGTTGAAAGTAACCAATCGCTAGCACCAATCGATTGGTTACCTTCAGCAACCAATCGCTAGCACGACGCTCAATGACTACCTCTTTTGAGGCTTGCTTAGAAGCACTCTACTGGTAGTTTTTTCATTTCCGGTATGCGCCGGTGCCAGTTCACCATCGAAACGAATGAACGAATCATTGATGGATTGACCGGCCCAGTAGCGAAGCGGGCACGAACGCTATTTGCCACTGCGCCACGTTGGTTGGCATTAAAATAAACAAACACGTTGGCTGGAGTCAAAGTTTTATTAGGTTGAATAAACGTTTATAATAGCATTTATGTCGGGCACAGACTGTCATCCTCAAATTTTTTTTTGAAGGAGTGGTTCATGCAGTAAATGGACTGCGCCCAGCCTATTTAGTTCTTTCTTATGCGTCTATCCAGACAAATCAACTCAAACCACAAAAGCTATTAATATAAGACATCAGAAATGTTGCCTCTAACTATACAGGGAGCATCAGCCTCAAAACAATTTTCAATTTTTTCTGTGCCCTGACGCATGACCTCAGGTGCAAAATGCGGAACGTTACGGGTTAAATACCGAAAAGGCTACTATAAGTAATTTAAAGCCAAACGCATGGAATTAGGATTGGGACCTCACTGTATCTTCACCTGTAACTCAGTTGCAACTTCAAGTAAAGTGAGGCAGGAAATTGGTGCTTTCAGCCCTTCGAATAAAATATGGCAAATGACCAGAAATCAGGTTCCTAATTTCTCAGTTTATTATTTGTGTAGTGGAAAACTAATTAACAATATGATCTCAGAATGCGAATTTGGTTATTTTATGCATGAATTGGCTGAAATCCAGTTAATCTTTTGCTTATTTTGTGCACTCACCCAGAAAGCATCTGTCACACATTGCTACAAAAAAGTATGATCATGCCGGCTTCTTGAGGCGAACTGTTATTTGCAGTTATTGAACCATGTTTTGTGACAAAAGGTCGTAGCATCAAATACCGGCGATAGGCGGAAAAACCATTTTCTCGAATGTGTTTTACTTCTGTTCTTTAGCTGTTAGAGTCTGGGAGCTTTATTTTGTAAAATTTTGCCTTTAGTATGTTTATTATTAGTCGTGGCCAATGCTGTTTTTGATTCCAAATTGCCTAAATTCAGGATTAGAAGCGTTTAGAATGCTAACTTTTAAAATTCCCGTAAGAAGTAGATAATCCGGTATTTGGTGATAATGCAATTGTGATAAGTGCTTCATCATATCTTCCATTTCCTTTGGCACCGATCTTTGAGATAATAAGTCGTATTATCTTCTTGAATTTATCACAGTTTGTTCTATAGGTATATGCTATACCCAGTAAATTCTAACTAACCAACTTATAAATAAAATAAGGTTAACAATAGCCTAAGCAATACCGAAATACTAATGACTCTACCTTCTCTCAGTTTTTGGCACTTCGAAAAGAAGTTGTGCCGTACTTTATCACCTGGAAAAATAAGCCAGTGAGAGCCCGAGCACCGGTGATATAATGAATGGAGGTTCTCACAACTTCAAAAGTCTATTACTCCTTTCCAGTACATCTAGTGATTTCACACTGTTAGTCAGACTGGTAGCTGCGTTGCTCTCAAAATAATTGCTTGGCCTCGTCAGTATGCGAAAATCACTCTTTTTTCTTTTTTCAGCAAAACTTCCCACAGGTCACGAGATTTACAAATTTCAGAGAATGTAATTTGCGCAACTTTTGTTATTAACCTTCCAAACTCATCGAACTTAACGTTGATTTTGAATTTGGCGATGTCATTCGGCTCCGTCGTTGCAGTCCATGGTAGAGAACCCTGGAAAAGCTCGATCAGCGAGTAAAACAAGCTCCAAATATCGTCCGTTGGACCCTAAAATTAACCACTCCTGTTTTTAGTAGCCGCCGATGCATTTTAGGACTAATGGAACTAAAGCAAAATAAGAACTGAAGTGTACCCGAGATACAGTGCTACTATACGTTTTCAAGATAACTGGAAAGCAGCGTGTGCAAAAACGGTGGAAGGGACATCAGTAGACAAATTATGCGGCGGTACTCTGTTTTGATAACTTATTACTTAGGCAGCACATTAAAGGTTCTGAAATGTGCTAATGGGTCGTTCCTTCCTTACTTTGTAGTATGAGCATTTATACGAAACTGATGTAACAGGTGTAGCTGCGACTGAATTAATAATCCAAAGCCTACTTTAAGTCATGAAATTCGTACTAACCAGAAAACTAAACCAGTCAACTGTTGAACTTTCAGTTTAACTAACATTTTGAATTTTGCCTGCTCGTCTTCTGCGGTCTACGCTTGGTTTTTGAAAATCTTGTCGCCAAGCGCTCGCGCAAGAAAATGTTTAGTCCTATAAAGGCGTTTGGAGGTTTGAGGGGGGCGAGGGAGAGGGGGGGAACGGGGGACGGGGAGGCGGGGGAGGAGAGGGCTTGAAAATGGATAAAAAAAATGAACGTTCGCAGAATCCTATGCATTTTTCAGGCCTATCTTCGGTATCAGGGTGCAGGCTTGCAAAGGATAGGCTGAGAAGTAGTTTCAGGCGTAATGAAGCCGCCTTAGGAGGTATTGAATCTTTTTTTGATGTGATCAGCGATTTGAAGCTTTGTTACCTGGTCTCGTCTTTCATGCACCGTAACAGACACATATCGCATAGTACCTCTAAAGCCAGCATAATATCGTTCTTTCCTTACTAAGCCATCACCAAGACGATATTGCCGAGCCATTCCAAAATCCACGATATAAATTGTTCGTCGATGGGATTGCAGTCCGACACAAATATTCGATGGTTTAACATCGCTACAATATTTCCAGAAGTTCCGCACTAAGGCAAGCAATTGGTCATCAGACTAACAAAAAGATAG